CTTCAAGTGCTCATTGCAACACGGAGCCCATCGTGCCTGATACTTAATGCAAAGCGAGTCCTAAAGTTACCCTGTGACTGTGTATCCAGTTATGGTCCTGAGCCAGCAGACCTCTCCAGGAGTATGCTGTTCCTAGGAAGTGAGTACACAGAACCGTGCGCTCTTAAATTTGCCTCTCCTGGCCCACATCTCAGTTTCATGGTCTGTAAATGGAAATAGCTCTGCGCTGGCTTGCGGTGTGAGCACCTGTCAGTCTCCTGTGGCTGACACTTGAGTAACGTGTGGAGGTCCCTGCACGTCTACACTAGTGTGGAGTGGGCCCTCCCTTTGCCTGCTTTTGTAGATCTTTGTGTTTCCCAACCCCACAGCATGGGCCTCGAGGGAGGACTTTCTGGTGCGCTGTCACTCTCTCACACCTCATGCTGTTTTTCTCATTGCACAGTGGTTTGAGCCTTCCCAGTTTGGGACGTGGTGGGCAATCCTGTCTACAAGCATGAACTTGGCTGGAGGCTTAGGCCCCATTGTCGCTGCTCTCGTGTCTCTGAACTACGATTGGCGCATGACTTTGTCCTTCTCTGGCTTCACCTGCGTGGTTGTCTCTTTTGTTTGCCTTGTCCTGATTAAAAATGAGCCATCGGATGTTGGGCTGCCCAACATTGACCAAGGAGCCAAGAAAGGGAAGAAAGGTGAGCATGACCTTTGCTGCAAGTGGGCAGCTGCAGGAGAAGGTGTGGTGCCTTCTGTCTGTATTCAGGCACCGGTGTGTCACTCTCGGTGTTTTGAGACCCACATCCTTCCCAGCTCCTGGAGCCACAGCTCGGCAGGCACGTGGTAAGGGGTGGGTTTTGGAGCTTTATTCTGATGACTGTCAAGCCACTGCATTGAAGTTACAAATTCTGTAAACCAAGGCCCAGGGTGATCTCTTGGAAAGGGGCTGGTATGGAGGCTCCTGAGGCTGTTGCAGAGCAGGGGAGAGCCTGACCTCTGTTAGCCCTGCCCCTCGGCCTGCCAGCAGCTCTCCCTGTCTGTCCTATGTCCTGCTCCCAGTGCCCCAGTTTTCTGGGGGCCCTGTGCACTCAGATGGCAAGCGCAGTTTCAGTGCAGTGCTGCTGAGAGAAAGCACGGCAGCAAGGAGTGCTTCCTTAAGCCTGACCTGTTCCTCTGGGTTGCCAGGGGACAGGCAGCTCTCCCCTCACCCCTCTGGGCTCTCATGACCCCTGGCACAAAGTGGACTCTGCTCAGTGTTTCTGTCCTAACCCAGGATGTTTAGTTAGTAAATGATTGTTCAGACTACTGAGCGTGGTGCTTCTCTGAAAGCAGAACAGGTAGAGGGGAATTGCAACACAGGTTTGCTGTAGGATTTTAAAGGCCAGTGGAAACTCAGCCTGTGTTCCACACTGCCCCATGATCCCTGTGCTGCCAGGCTTGACCTCTTTGCATGAGGAAAGAGCATTGCTTCCCCAGAGCATTCTCGGGGCAGG